TGCCCAGCCGTGCGCTGCTGCTGGATCTCTTCAAACGCATTGTCACCTGCTCCACTTACAAGCGTTCAACTGCGCTACAGGCTCTGCTGGCGGAGCACTTACGGCTGCTTACCAAAAAGCATCTGGCCTACTATACATTTTTCTTCTTTGAGCTGTTGCAGCGGCTAGCGCAATTTACACCGGAAACGATTTTGCAGATCATGGAATTTTTGCTAGCTGAGGTGCGTGTGGTCGAACAAAAACGCGGCGCTGGCGAGGATAATCGCATGCGTGGTTGCTTACAAAAACTACAGCAATGTTTGAAAGGTAGCAGCAAGTGAGGTAAGTCAAAGCCTACATATCGTTACCTTAATTCACAAAGGCCCTAACCAAAAATATTTTTATTTTACAGGAGAAGCAAAAAACATTTTTAAAAAAAGAGTATCGAAAACGGGTAGGACCAAGGCGCATTATATATGTATATTTATTCGCCTTGGGTAGCTCTTTTTAAAAAGGGTTGTTTTTCGTATTAACAATTTACAATTTTTATGTATTTAAATACATCCTACCAAGATCTGTGAAAAACGCAGTTTCGAAAAATTTGGTGATTAGGGCCTTTGTGAATTAAGGTAACGATATGTACATTTATAGGCCGCGGGCTCGTATGGGTAAAAACCGCATTTTCGAAAATGAACAAAGCTGAGTACAAAGGCGCAAACATGAAAAGTCGGTTATTTAATTTTTTTTTGGTTAGAAAATTGCTATTTTACACTAATGTGCTCCTCGGATATCTTTACGGATTTTGGAGATTGCGGTGAGCTGTTTTTGAATTTTTATAAATTGTCGCCATCCCATTTTCAGCTCGGTAGTTTTCATATTTACATAGAATAAACTAAGCAGTATTTTTATGATATAATATTAATAGGCGTGCTTTTTTTACACGCATACGTATCTGAGCTTAAAAATTGTATGTAGCTCTAAATTTTTTAAAATTACTTCTTTTGAAATGGAAATTGTCGAGGATTATTTTTTTTTTACATGTTAAGCGTAGATGTATATATGTCCACCAAAATATTTCGGAAAAATATTAAGATTATACCTCCAAAAATGGAGTTTTTTATGAATAAAAATAGTTTCTTAATGAACTTTTTGAAAAAAGTCCCCTCAGATGACAAAACAGTTTAAGCTTTAAAANTTTAATGTTCCATCTAATTCAGCGTAGTTTATGTATTTTTGCATACGTTATGTTTTTAACATGTTTTTTTTTTTTAATTTTTTTCAATCGCTTTCGAATAAAAAAACGAAATTTAGAACTAATATNAAAATCTTTTCAACGGAATCGTAATAATGAGATTTTTGACGCTGTTTTTTACCTTTTTTCAATGATTGATTTACGAAAACTTAATAACTGAGCCAAAACTATTCTAATTTAAACTTATGAGATCTCAGTAGAAATGTATTTTCCCACTATTTTTATTTCTGCGCAAAAAAAGTCATTCGTGTCCCTTTTTTTCAAATACCAACACATCCTCATTCAACTTTAAATGACGTTCGTTCATCCCGNCGTGGTTCGTTTAACATTGAAAAAAAAAAAACAACATGAGCTTAAAATATTATTTACAACACCAAATGAACAAGTAATTTTTAAGAAAAAACCGATTTAAATTCTCGTATAAAATTTGAAGATCGGATCCAAACCAANATGAGTTTATTAGCAAAGAAATAAAAAGTGTGAGAAAATACCTTTCCAATCAATGATATCTAAAAAGCCTGAATCGGAAGAGTTTAGCTTCAGTTATTCAAGTTTTTCTTATACCAATCTTGAAAAAAGGTTAAAAAAAAAACAGCATTAAAAATCTCATTACGATTCTGTTCAAAATTTTTTTAAATTTTTTAAAAATAGTTTTATAAAAATTTTTAAAGTTTAACCGTTTTGTCATTTGAGGAGATTTAAAAAAAAACCCCTTTAAGAAACTATTTTTATTCATAAAAAACTTCATTTTTGGATATATTTTTAAATCGGTCCAGCTCACGTAAATCTTAATATTTTTCCGAAATATTTTGGTGGAAGTCTTAAAATATAATAGATTTTATAATTACAATGGAAACACAGTACCGATTTTTTTTTGTATGGGGAGTGATGCAGTCTAATATACATACAGTATTGGACATATCTATAGCACCCCCCATTCCAAAGCGATATTGTTTGCCACTTATGTTTAATTATTTACTTTTAAGAATCTTCAATTAAAATACAGTGTCTTCTCTAAAAAACTCATATCAACCCAAGTTTTAAACTTTTTAAAAGACCGCAAAAAAGTGCAACAAATTTTCACCCAAATTTCAAACATTTTTCTCAGTATTTTTCTTTTTTTGTCTCATTTGCTTCGATATAACGAATAACACAATTTATTTTTATACGGAAGAAACCCGCAACACCGGCGAAAAAAATTCTAAAAAATCGACGGTGATTTCTAGTCACTTGAAGCTTGCAGATTGTTGGACTAAAATTGAACGGGCTATTAAACTGCGTGCCCAAAACAATTCTAGAACTTCTGAGAAAAAAATTTCAAATTTAGGTTAAAATTTGTTGCATCTTTTGTTGCAGTCTTTTACAAAGTTTAAAACTTGGGTTTATATGGGTTTTGTTAGAGAATTAACTCTATTTTAATTGAAAATTCCTAAAAATAAATAAATAAACATGAGTGGCAAACAATATCACTTTGAAATGGGGGTGCTATTGTATTGTCCAATACTGTATGTATACTCACCTTATTTATGTTTTTAATGTTCCATCTAATTCAGCGTAGTTTATGTATTTTTGCATACGTTATGTTTTTAACATGTTTTTTTTTTTTTAATTTTTTTCAATCGCTTTCGAATAAAAAAACGAAATTTAGAACTAATATTTTTTAAGTTCCAATTTTCGTGGTTCGTTTAACATTGAAAAAAAAAAAACAACATGAGCTTAAAATATTATTTACAACACCAAATGAACAAGTAATTTTTAAGAAAAAACCGATTTAAATTCTCGTATAAAATTTGAAGATCGGATCCAAACCAATTTAGTATGGGACCACCTCTGAAGTACAACCTTTAATTAAAAAAAAAAAATTATATAAATCGGTTAACATGGTCCAAAGTTAATTGATAACCTACTTTTATTAAAGTCGGTTAATAAATCGGCGATTTTACTGATTTCGAATATATGTACATATAAAGGCGTACTCAAAACGTAAAAAAATCCATTATTTTTGCAAATACCGCTAAAGATTATACTGTTTTAATTCGAATTTCCGAATATTGAAAAAATATACTATTTGTAACACAAGAATTAAAAATGCCACTTTCATATTAAGGCGCTGGCCCAATGCAGGCTTGCTTTGCTTGCTTAGCTTTGAAAATTGTCAAAAGTTATTTGGAATATACTAAAACGTATGAAGGGTGGCCAAATGGCAGCTTTGCTTCACTTGCTTTAAGCGCCTCAAAGTTTCAAATAGGCAAATGTTTTATTTGAAAGCGTTTCGTAGGCTTTTGACAAAAAGATATGTTCCCGTTCTAAATTCAACAATTCAAACAAACTGTTTCAGACTTTTTATGTACAAAAATTGTCTTACGTAATTTTAAAAAATATATGTATTTATAATATTAGTAATTCAAAGTTTAATAAAAAGTAATATATTACTACATTTATACGCACGTATTATTTGCAAATAACAATTTGCAAAATGGTAAACTTTGCCGTATAAACGCTGAGTTAATTTTTTATTTGCAAATAACTAAATCCCGCAAATAAGTATTGATTAGTGGTACTATTTGCAAATACGCGCAAGACTCCGCCAATCTTAGGTTTATTTTCTTTTTCGATTGTCATCTTATTGCCTTTTCATAATCAAGACGTTGCCATTTCTAACTTTATTTTCTTTTTCGGCAATATTAAAAACTAATTTTTCACCATCGAATAAACAGTGAGTTAGGTATTTGCAAATAGCTTACGTATAAACGTAGTATATGTTTCCATATTTATATTTAACATGTCGCTGGCTTAAACTGAAAAGTTGCTAAGTCCAATTTTACAAATTTTACAGGAACTTTGAATACAACATTTTGCGTGTTTAAAGCAAAGCAAAACTCCATACAAATCAGAAGGATTCAAAACTTTCGTATAATTTTGGCCTCTTTGCATATTCGGGGCCTCTTTTGGACTTATAAAATTTATCTTTCATTGAATATAAACGAGAAAAAAATAAAACAAGTACCTTAGTGCTTAATTTCTCTTACTTTCTATGTCAAAATTTGAGGCTTCATAAATTGCAGACTTATTTCACACAAAGCTAGCGATATTTATGATGTCAAACTACTGGTACGTCGTCTCTTGAAAAATCGATTTTTTTTTTAGTTTTTTGTTTCTAATAAATTTATATATAGTTATATATGTCTGTATAATTATTATCATTCCTTTGAAATGCAAAAATTAATTCACATTCATTTAAAAATAAATCTGAAAAGATAGTTTTGTATTTCTTTTTTTTAATTTTCTGGAATTTGATGGCAAAATTATTCTTAGTGTAAGGAAACAGACCTTGACTTTTCAACTACACAGCTGGTTGCTTTGACAGCGTTCCAAGCCGCCATTTGGCCAAACGAGTTATTGAAGTAAATCAAAGCAAATTAAAGTAAGCAAGGCATGCAAGGCAAGCCTGCATTGGGCCAGCGCCTTTAGAAATGTTCCCGAATACAGTACAAATTTTTCGAAGTTCACTCGCCCCGTTGCTGTTGTCTGATTAGTTTAGTTATTGCAAGTTAGGGAAACGTTTAATCATTAATGCATGTTTTTAAATAAGTATAAAGAAAGAAAATATTAAAAACATATACTTCCCATCTACATATTGAAACTAAAATCTACGCCATATTTATTCGATGTATGTATTTATAGTTATGTATATATGCACTTGGTAAACATATATGTATGTAATTTTAAGTTTATATTAATAAAGATTTTTGTGTTATTATGTGTATGTATGTATGTTATATAAGAAGTATATTTTATAATTAAAAAAAAAAAACAATCAATGATATACAAATGCCACTTAACACTTAAAAATACGCGTACGCAATAAAAGACGGATATGTGGAAAGGAAGGGTGCTGCCGCATGCGCGTTTTCTTTAAGAATGCACGAATTAAAGTCCAATATTAAACGTTTGTGTGTCTGTGGTCATAAGCAATAACCGCCTAAGTCGAAAAACCAGAATTCGAGAAAAAAACGTTTTAAACATTTGGATTGTATGTAATGTTAACTTTATGGGGAAACCGAAAATATGTTCGTCTATAACTTTTTAAATAGCCCAGCTGGCGAGATGTGGGGATTTCACATAAGCATGGAATAGTAGTTGCAGAATACGATAGCATATATAACTCAATTCTTTCCTAAGTCGACTTTGGCGGTTATTGTTTGTGACCACAGATGTATGTATAATAATTTCTTAGGATCTAATTACAATCGGGCAGGATCTGAATTCACTTCCGAGTTGAATTCCAACCAAAGCCACTTTGAATTCAAAATAAATGGGGTTCAAATTCACTCGGAAGTAAACTGCAGAACCTGCCTGAATACAATACTTTTTTATAACAAGCAAAACTAATTTTTAATGTACTTTTGTATAATCTTTTTTCCTACTAAAGGGAATGTTTTTTTTTTTGTTTTTTTTTGTCAAAATTGAGCACAATTGTCAGGAATGTTTGAGTAAGGGGCGCGGACGACGCATGCTTTTTATTTAACCATACTTTGATATTTTGCATTTTTTTAATACTTTTCCTTGTTTAATTTACTAAATGACTTTTTTGTTTAAGGCATTATTTTAGTAACAAAAAAAAACTACTTGTGATTAAGTACGAAAACCGAAAGCGTATGATTTAAGTTAAACAGTGAGGTTATGTTTTCACTTGTTCACCTTTTTTTAATTGAAATTCCTAACATTTTTTCGGTAAAAAAGCAATTTTTAATAATTGTCCGCTTAAGGCAATTCAATTTTGAACTTTATTTTTCCGCGTGCTAAGTTCTACAAATTAATATCTAATTTAATTTTTGTTTTCCGATTTAAAGCTTGCTTCATGCATACATAGCTGTGTTTGTAGTTTCTATATTTTTTATTTTGAAATAGTTGAATTGAAAACCTGTAGTAGCTGCCTTTTGGGCATTTCGTTTTGAAGATAAACTAATTTGCCGTTTACAACAAAATTGTAAACACATATGGTATGCATACTTATCTTTCTGAATAAATCCATTATTATCCGACTTTTTAAAGACTCTTACGTAAATTTTCATTATTGAACAAAAAACACATGCCCAAAACTCCACACGGAATCAACTTAAAAATAATTCAAAAACGAAAATAAAAACGGGAGGTATACGTTTTCAACTATAATAATAAGGTATTTAAATAAATGCAAAATGCTACGAAAGTAATACTTGAAAATTTCCAGAATTAAGTAGTTGCCGAAATGTTACCGCCTTTTTATATACAATGAATTAGCCTCGAAATTCATAAGGCGCAAACAATATCAGTTTAAGTTTCGGTGCTAATTCATTGACCACAGATGTATGGGTATTCGAATTGGAGTGGAATTTTCTGTATATGTATGTATGCCGTGCATGGGTGTTTGTAAGGAAGTTATGAAGCGCGTCGCTAACTAAATTATATTTTACTTGCGTATATTCGATTTTCATTTGTCGGTTTTCCCTTCTTTTTTCTCTGTACTTTTCTTCAATGCTGTCTTGTGTTCCGCATCAGAGGTACCAATAGCGAGGGTGGGCCAGCCTGCCGCAAGAATGGATGTACTAATAGTTCAGCTGCTGTTGCACGCTGCGCCGGGTCACGCACCAGCATACGATCCAAGAACGATTGCAACCTTGGTGAAACTTTATGTGCATTCTTTAAATTTGGCGGCTGCATATCGCGTATGCGACGCATCGCTTGTAGTGGCGGTTCGTTGAAGAAAGGCGGCTCACCGTCCACCATCTCGATAACCATGATACCAAGTGACCAGATATCTACTTCGGGACCGTATGGCAAACGCGATATTACCTCAGGTGACATCCAATACGGCGTGCCAACAAGTGATTTGCGCTTTGGCAACTCCTGAGAGACCTGCGCACAAAAGCCGAAATCTGAGAGCTTAACACGCCCATCGGCGGCTAGTAGAATGGAATCAGATTTGATGTCGCGATGAATGACGCCCTGAGGATGAAGACAAATATTGGTTGAAAAGAGCTTGTCTCAGTTATAGTATATGTATATAAAAAAAATTATGAATGCGATTTGAGATTTTTTCTTAGCACTCCCTAGATTTGAAATTCAATCACTGACAACGCCCAAATCGGGGTTGGATGTGGGTAAGCATAAGATAAGCGAAAGTGAAAACTCACAAAAGGTAATAAATTAAAGCGTAGAAATCGCTAGCATTCTAAACTCTGACTCATCGCCCATGCTGTGCACGTACTACCTACCAACGAACGTGTTCAAACATACCTGCGAATGCAAATAGGCCAATGCTTTGAGACATTGCTTGCACACTGTGGCGATTTGTTCCTCATCCATACGTGAATGTGTGACGATGTCGGTGAGTGCACCGCCTTCCAGATACTCCATAACCACCCAGAGTTCATCGTTAACCAAGAAACTGGAGTAAGTTTCCACAATGTTAGGGTGGTGATAGTCGCGCATGATAACCACTTCGTTGAAGAGCAATTCACGTCGTTGCTGCTTACGTAAATCCATTTTTTTAACAGCCACTTGACGACCTGTACGGGATTAAACCATAAAAAAATGTATAAAACGGTTTAAATGCTCGAAATATCTCATTAAAATACCTGTTGACTTGTCAGTGGCTATGCATACAGTGCCGGTTGAGCCTTCACCTATTTTCATGAAGTTGTCTAAATTTTCACGTGGATCTCCAGCCGAAACAACCATTTGCAAAGCTGCGCGGAACTAAAATACAGTTTTTTTTTTAAATAATGCATATCGTATACAATTTATCAGGGCTATCACAGAATCCATCGCATTTTCGTAGATTTTACGAAAATCGTACTACGATGAATTTAGTGATAATCCCGTATATCCTTTTCTCCCACTCACCTGTTCGTGTGTCAGCCGTTGCTCCTGCTTGGGTGGTGGCACGCCTACACCTCCCGCCCCGCCAGCGCTTCCACCAACACCACTGGCGCCACCGCTTGAGCTTGATGCTCTTGACGCTGATTTCGCATGCAAATGTGTATGCGGATGGTGAGGATTCTGATTTTGATCTCCACCGGTGCCCAAATTCTTTGCTACATGTTGTGCAGGTTGCAAAGGTCCCGGTTGATATGGCGTAAAGCCGCTTACACCGTTATTGTTGTTTAAATTACTGCTATGTGGGTGCGTGTGCGCCGAGGAAGCGTGCGAATGCGTGGAACGCGTCCCGCTTGCCACTGAACCTACTGGTGACGACTGTTGCTGCTGACTACTGGCAATTAAATGGTGCGGTGGTGGTGCCGGCCGGTAGTGCAGAGCACCATGCACTGAAGTGCCGCCGTGTGGTGGTAGTGGCTGTACAGGCGGATGTTGTTGCTGACCGGGTGTGAAATCCGTACGCACAGCAAGTGGTCCATGACCACCGCCATTCTGCGCACTATGGTGCGTGGCATTTTGGCTGGAATATATGCCGTGCGTTGACTGTTGCGTGTAAGATGCTGGACCACTCGGTGCTACATTGCTGCCAATACTGGTCGCACTAGTGACGCCGCTACCTACAGCTGAAAGTTTATAGCCACTGAATGGTGGTGTTTGACCAGGCACGGGTGTGGGCGCTGCCGTCGATGCGCTTTCTTCTGGTACGGAAGGAGGCACGTTGGCATTACCACGCAAATCGCGACGTACCCGCGGTGGACTTGAGCTGCGCAATGAATTCGAGCGGGCTACGTGTGACGTTTTCGGCAACACAATTCCACCTGTATTGGGGCCAATGCCACTTGTTGCCGCGTTAGCTATGATGGAGGCATTGTTGTGTTCTGTAAAGTAATGCGCATGCGCTGTTTGATGGTGTCCCAACGTGGCGCTGGCGTTCGGAGCAATGCTGCTATTCAATGAGGTCGTATCCGCCTTGTTGTTGTTGTGATGTGGCCGCACAATTGTTTTCAAGTCAAGTATTTCGGTTGGAGTTATTTCCGAGGGATCGACTAAAGGTAGCGGCCTATTTGTTGATTTTAGTATTTGATTGTTACCAACTATGGAAGCCCATTGCAGCGGTAAGCCCACATATCGCCCCTCACGTTTGTCGAATCCCGTGTGCACGCGATGCTCAAAATTACTGGGCATAGAAATCAAAGGTTTCTTCTTCTTCTTTGAGAACATTTTGTCGCACTATGTGTAGGTACTTGCGCCGTACTCAGTGGCACAATGCGCTACAAAGAAAGGTGAAAATTCGTAAAATTCCTCCGCGAACGATGTGAATTTCTCGTCGCAGTTTGTTGACTTTATTATTTACCTCCGACCGATGCGCACGCACCGCGCTCTTCTCCAAAAAGCAACAAATTTCTTTTGTTGCACAGCTAAGCTCCACACCCGTTGCTGGTAGTGGCCGTTGGTGCTTGGCTTCCTCCCTTCAACTGCGTTTTATGGCTTGTATTTATTTTCATTTACAAAATAAGGCTTTTTTGCACTTACAACTTACACTTTACACTACACACGTTGCAAATTCATTAATTTTCACACTTGCACATATTTTATAATTAACTAATAAATTTTACAAGGAAAAAAAATAAAATAAACCAAAAGGAATGTCTGAGCGCACTAATTTAATTTTGCATTTTCTCTTTTCGATGGCATTTCTCTCCTTTTGCATTTTTGGCCACCGCCTTTGGACTAATTTTCGTTGCTGGCTGTCAATATGGCGTCTAGGGAGTGCTGGAAAGCGCTATATAAAATTATTTTCGTTAAATCGCATTTTAGCAAAAATAAACTTTCGAATGCATGTAATTTATATTTCGTTAGTTTATTCTTTAATAAAATTTAAATTGTTACTTTATTTAAATTATCACACTCCAAGGCCGGCAGTAGCCTAAAGGTTTCAACGCTGCCATATTTTATTCTTTCAACGGCACGCGATGTTTTTTTCCCCCGAGGGTTGGGACCAAATGCACTACCGGAATCGGTTTAGGACCAAATGCACCGTCTTTGACATATGTCAGTTGCCGGTGTTTCTGTCAAACGCACTTGAATTTTTTGCTGAGTCCTCTTTTCCACATTGGTGTTTTATTGCTAATAGTTTTAAGCAAATAACTTATTAAAAAAACTAGAAATGTCTACCAATTCCAATTTATCCGTGGCTGTAGTTTGTTCCTCAAATATGAACCGTTCTATGGAAGCGCATAACTTTCTAGCGAAGAAAGGCTACAACGTGCGCTCCTTTGGCACAGGCGAGCGTGTCAAGCTGCCAGGCACGGCAATCGACAAGCCTAATATTTATGAATTTGGCACACCATATGACGCAATATACCAGGATCTGCTCACAAAGGATAAGCAGTAGTAAGTGTGGGCGTTAATCCAAGTCACTGCAGAAAGTGTAATTTTTTTTATGGTTACACCTTGCCTAATTCTAGTACTTTCTATTACAGCTACACACAAAACGGCTTACTGCATATGCTAGATCGCAATCGAAGGATTAAAAAGTGCCCTGAGCGTTTCCAGGAGTGCAAAGAACAGTTCGATATTATTGTGACGGTGGAGGAGCGAGTCTACGATCAAGTGCTCGAACACATGGAATCATGTGATCCCATCGATAATCGACCTGTACACATATTCAATGTGGACATTGAGGACAATCACGAAGAAGCACTTATGGGCGCTTTTGTTATAACGGACATGATAAATATGGTAATGATCGTCATGATGAAGAGAAACCACAAAATATCCCCAGTTGGACTACTTGTACCAATATTGATGTTAAGCTGTAGTCTGGAGGTGACAGAAGTATATGGGTTAAAGGGTGTGATTGAGAAAGTCTTGGCATACGTTTTCCACGCACCTAAAATTTTAACTAAGTTAAATTATTGGTTGCATAAATATACGGTACACTCCATCCAAAATGAACGTTTTATATTATTTTTTCATTCTCTTTTAGCTGGGCTACAAGATTATTTGCGCGAATGCTGTAAGTAACAATGTAAACGATTTTAGTACTTTGAATGGGTTTGATAACTATAGAGAATAGAAAAAAAAGTGAAATTAAATACCTGAAAAATGTGGTTAATTAAAGTAAATTCAAGTTTGTTTGCCTTAGAAGAGGCTCAGTTATATTTGCTTTGCTATAAACTATTCAACAAACAAAATTCTCCGATAACATTCAGTTTTTAATCAAAACCAAGTAGTTTCCTATTAAAAAAATACCAATATTACTTAAAAGATTTTGGCAATATTTTCATATTTGAATTTTTATGAACAACCTTTCGATAAAGCAAAAAAAAATTGGATTTTTGTGTTTATGGGAAGTCTCCTACGTATCTAAAAGCAAAAATGTTAAAAAAGTCAGTAAACATTCGAATACTGAAAGCAGTAGGATTCTGTTAGATCCAAGCAATCCCCCTCACATCCGCAACTCATAATGGATGCACCTCCTCAATTTTCACACCTCGTTACATTTTCTATATATTTTTCTACTATCTCAACTACCTCCATACAGATGGCTAAATCTAACGACCTGGACAATGATATTGATGAGCTGCTGCAAGAATTCGAATCTCGGCGCAATAAAACTGTTCTGCATTCGGTACTTTTCTACTGACAATTGTACAACCTATAGACGGAAATCAAAATAAGGCATCGTGCGATACCATAACAACACGGGAACTTACATATGTTTTGTTGTCATAGTTTGTTTTGCTGATGCAATAGTGTTAAACGGTAACAAAAACTATCCTATAAATGTATGTAATATCACTATAAACTTAAAATTGTATGGAAAGATAAGAGAAGAAAGAGGGCAAAACAGAAAACTGTTTGCAAAACAAAAAAAGCGATATTGTGGCATACAATTTACAAAGGAGTAGATAACAAAAAAATAAATCTTTAATCAAAAGCAGTTAGTTTTGAAGATAAAAGAATATAGTGGCGAGGGAAGAACTAATGCTATGTAAAAAAATAATAACTGTAAGTTAGTGATAATAACGGGAAATTTACGGAAAGTTAAATACTTTCAAAATATTCACCAATTAAGTTCTTCATTGCCAAAGAAAATATGACTAAAATAAATATATACAGTCAGTCAATAAAGTTTAGGTACAGCGAATTTTTTACAATACGGGCAACTATTTTTTAAATATTTTATTTTTCGCAAATTTTTTATAAAAATATGGTTAATTCTACAACAAAAACCCCAAAAATCAAAGTTCCAAACCTTGTGCAAAATCAAAGAAAATTCTGCAAAATTTCATTCAAATATTGCACTTTTTATTTACGCTCCCTAGAAAAAATTTGAGTATGCAGTAGTAGAGTATAAAGTGCAAGTATGAGGAAGCTAGGACTTACCATTGATTTTTGGGGAATTTTTTTGTTGAAGGTGTCGCACATTTTTTCCATATAAAAAAATTATCAAACATTATTTTATATGGAGAAAATGAGCGACACCTTCAACAAAAAAAATTCCTAAAAATCAATGGTAAGTCCTAGCCACCACAAACTTGCATTTTGTTATACTATGAATGGGCTAAAAAACTGCACCCCAACTTCTTTCTAGAGAGCGTAAATAAAAAGTGCAATATTTGAATGAAATTTTGCGGAATTTTCTTTAATTTTGCACAAGGTTCGGAACCCTAATTTTTGGGGTTTTTGTTGTAGAATTGACCATAGTTTTATAAAAAATTATCGAAAAATAAAATATTTAAAAAATAGTTTGTAAAAAATATATTGTAAAAAATTCGCTGTACCTAAACTTTATTGACTGACTGTACATATGTACATACTAGATGTATACATGCTTACATTTGTACGTATGTACATACAGTGGTGGAAAAGTAAATAGGCACTCGACATTCTAACAAATTTGTCCTAGTTTTCTTTTGTTTATTTAATATTTATTCTTTTTTTTATAAAAGTAAAGCTCATAATCTAATAAAAACCATATAAATTAATATTTCAAACTTTGTGCACAAATTATAAAAATATTGCAAATTGCATCTAAATTATCAACTTTTTCTCAGATTTTTTTAAATTTTTTTGAGTATGCAGTTTTGTAGTCCATTAAATTATAGTGGAATGAAGCTTTAAGTTGCTAAAAATCGTGTTCATTTTTTGGCAATTTTTTTTTAAAGCATTTAATACAAAGTGTGTTCGACAATTTTTTTTGTATGGAAAGAAGTGCTTAACACATTCAGAATAAAAATTATCAAAAATCAACACGATTTTTTAAGAACTTCAAGCTTACACTTTGTTCTACACTTTAATGAGCTACATATAAAACTGCATACTCGAAAAAATTCTAAAAAATCGGATTAAAAAGTGGAGAATTTAGATGCAATTTTGAAAAATTTTCATAATTTTTGCACAAAGTTTGAAATATGAATTTATATAGTTTTTGTTAGATAATGAGCTATACTTAAAAAAAAAAAATAATAAATATTAAGTAAACAAAAGAAAAATAGGAATAATTTGTTAAAATGTCGTGTCCCTATTTATTTTTCCACCACTGTAGGTACAAATGTATGTATATGGATATAAATAATTTGCTTCAGTGAAATTTAGTTATATGTATGTAAGTACAAACCTACTTTTATTATTTTTATTTCTCAAATTAACAGTATTTATACAGATATTCTTAAGGTTATTGAACTACATATACATATACATATTTGGGGGATTTACTGGACGTGTTAAGTGTCGTAATATCTTAAAGTTTAAAAATTTTTCCATTTTTTTAACTAAACCATTTTTTTTTACTGACAGAAAATATAATATATTTTATTATATACATGTACATATGTACATATCGTCGTTTAAAGTACAAAACCGCGTATCAAGAAAATGCAAAACCTTGTATGTGAGGTTGCCCAAATTTTATAGGAGAAAGTAAAACACGTTTTATTTAAAAACGGTTCTCTCTTTTATCCCTAATAATCTCTTCTTCTTATGTCTAAGAATCAATATTTTAGTATGAATGGATAAGGGCTTGATGCCAGGAGCTTCCGGAGAGCAAATATCTTTTTTGGCACAAATGGCAGTTACGAGCTTTTGCAGAACCACGATACGCGGTTTTGTACTTTAAACGGCGATATGTATTAAGCGCTCTTATCATAAACAGGGAATACCCTAAAAAAATATTTAACCCTTAACAACACGGCACACAAAAAATAATCGAATCTGAGGTCCGAAAAATCGAAAAATGGCAAAAAATTCGCAACTTTCGCATTGCAATCGCAATTAAGCTATTGCACCGGTACACAAAAAAGGGGTCTGTGCATTTAACCAGACCCACCTACCGACATGTATTTCGTCCCACTGACACGTCTATTCTGCACGTTACCAATAGTTTTGTAACCGGAAAATTGTATTACCAAAAAATGTTACCACTTCTTATCACTGCGATTCTGTGAAAATTGTGATATTGCATATTTCACGGGGCATTATTTTGTTACCACCTTATGAGATGGCAACAATATAGATTATAGATAGATAGATAGATAGATTTATTTATTTTTTATTTTTTTGATATTGAGTTTATTCTCTATACAGTTACGAAAGATCGAATTTTAAGTCGGGCTCGCGGCCCGTCATTTTACATAGAAACATTTTAAGACTGTAAGACATTACGACGCTTAACACGTCTTGTGAATCCTATAATTGATTGGTATAAAAAATCAGACGATGTTTTACAGTCTTTTTTAGTAAAAACTATAGTAAAAAATAGCGAAGAAATGGAAGAAAATTCTATAAAAGAGCAGATTCTTTACCTCTTATAACTATTATCGGCATTTTTCGAAAAATTCATTGAACTAAAAAGACAAAATTAAATCTAAGTATAGATGTACATAAATATGTATATAGGAAATTAAAATAAAAATAAAATCAAAAAAATTTTGAAAAATTAAATTAGTACATATACATAGTACATACATACATACAAATGTATGAGCGTTTCCAGCGAAAAGTCTACCGCGAAAGAAAAATATAAAAGTCCTATATCTAATGGCGTTTTATTTCTCGAAAAAAATGTCACCTTCGTGTATGGCAACATTATCAGAGTGCAGCATTTTAAAGAAAGAGCACGCAATATACATGTGAAGATGCTGAGAAAAGAACACGAACACTTGTCAGCCCTGGCGCAGGGCAGAATAAATGCAACATTATTTCGAGAAAAGAAAACGCTATAACCGATTTGCGAAAAATGGGATTGCTGGTGGCGCTGATGTCAAAATAAAAAGTATATCCGACATAAAATGCATGTTTTCTTCCCGTTAAAAATTCGTTCAAAAACAATATTACAAAACTTTTTCAATGGAAATTTTATTAACGTAACGTCACGCTAGATATTTCAGTCGATTAAACAAAAAGCGGAAAGGATTTTTACATTTAAAAACTTGTGAAAATTAACTTTAAACATTTAAAATATTTCTACAAAAACTTGTATACAAGTAGTCTTGCGCAATTCGCAATGTTTTGCAATTTTGTAACCCAAGTCAAAATCCACTTCTGTTTTTTGTAACGTCACGTCAGCGCGTAAGTTTACTAATATTTGTAAATGGTTACTTAAACCAACAGTTGTATTTTTTTACCGAATAAACACACATACATATGTACACTGCCGGCAAAAACTATTGGCACAGGAAATTTTTCACATCATATGCATAAATTTTTTTTCTAATATTTCTCCAAACAACAAAATTATTATTCCTAAACTTTGTGCAAAACTCCCGAAAGTTCTGCAAATTTTCAACTTTTTAATTAGATTTTCTAGAATTTTTTGAGTATGCAGTTTTGCAGTCCATTAAATTATAGTAAAAAACTGCAAGTTCTGAGTTACTCAAAAATCGCTTTGATTTTTGAGATTTTGTTTTAAGTGTTTGCTGTTTTTCCATATAAAGTATTTTCGAAAAGACTGCGTGAAAAAAACAAATTGCCAAAAATCAACGACAACTCCTAGCTACATAAAACTTGTACTTTACTATAATAAAATTGATTGGGCTACAAATCTGCATACTCAAAAGAATTAGAAAAAACTGGTTAAAAAGTTGAAAATTTGCATGAAAATGAGCTGAATTTTCGTGAGTTTCGTACAAAGTTTAGGAATTATATTTTAATGTTTTTTGTTGTAGAAGGAACCATATTATTTAATATTAAAAATATTAGAAAAAAATTGTTGCATATATTGTGAAAAATTTGCTGTGCCAATACTTTTTGCCGGCATTGTATGTATATGCGTCGGTATGGCAAGCGCAAACATTGCAATGCCAAGAGGGACGAAATTATAATAAATCGAGTTTCTCGTTTAAGCAAAACTTATACAAAAATGAGACTTACAGTTGGCTGTTCCATTAAAATGATCCGAAATGCCAGCAAATGAACTTCAAAAATAATTCAATTATAACTGCTTAGAGAAAATGACGATTTATAAATGCATATATAATTTAGAAAATATCATTTGGGCTGACCGGTAGAAAAATAAAGGTGTTCGAGACCACATTTGCTACCATACAGCGGCGATTTGTTTCCGTCTGTCCACAGAAGGTTTCTCCATTGGTATACTGCTCTTTTAAATGTTTAGGCGTAATTTAGGTAAGTAATAATGAAACAAAGTGCAACTTTCCTAACCTCATTTTATTATTTCTAAATTTATAAGCTCTTTCTTTCACTCATAGCCCGCACACAATGAAAACGTTTGGCGACGACCGGGCTACGCGACGGCTGTGGTTGTGGCCAGATTAGATCTATTTCTATTTTTCTGGCGACAGATAAGGTTCTTCCTCTTCTTTTATGTCAAACTCATACCAATTCATGATGTCGCTGCCGCGTTCAAAGAAATCATGTCGCCATCGACAAAGCGTTTAGATAATGAAGATAACAAATTGGAAGCTGTGGTCTGTAGCTCGTCGTTTTCAATGTGTTCAGAACTTCACTTAAATTTTGCAGTGCATATTTCCTAATATGTTCAAATACAGTCTTTTAATTTAATTTAATTTTATGTTAGATCATTCAAACAAAAATTGTAAGTATTTTTGCAATAGTATTTTATTTACATATTACACATTTAATAATA